GCCCCGGCCCCAGCGCCCGCCCCACCTTCTTCCGCGGGTCCGGGAAATCCAGGGGGAAGCTCGTCTGCTCCCGGTACCGCTCCGGCCACAGCGCCGCCACGATGCCCTGGATCCGCCTCCGCGCGACGTCGCCCGCGCCGGGCGCCCAGAAGCCCGGGTTGATGGGCCCCACAAAGTGCTCCACTGGAAGCTGGACCAGCAGGGCCTGGGCGGTGGCCTTGAGCTCCTCCAGGGGGAGGCCGGCGTAGATGCGGCGCTGGGCCTTGGGGTCGACCTTGCACCAGCTGGTGGAGTCCCACCAGGGGCCCTGGGGTTGTGTAAGAGGGTGTACGAGAAAGTGCGTGTGTTGTGTGTGTGTGCGTGTGTGTGTGACTGTGACGGGGGAAGGTGGGTAGGCACGAGGGCCTGCAAGTCCTGCTTTGCGCGCAGCTGGAGCCAGGCGTGCATGGGAGCGCGCCCACGTGCAAGGAGACTCGGCCGCAAGGGGCGGCGCCGAGCCCCGCCCCGCTTCGGCGCGCCCTGCGCCCCGCCTCGCGCCTGCCCCCCCCTGACCCCGACTAGTCACAGACAGTGCCGCCCGCCGTCACGCAGCCCTCAGGGGCCCACCTGATAGCAGACGTTGGGCGGCCTGACCTTCACGCACGTGTTGGGCATAGGGTCAACGTCCCCCGTGCACACCAGCCCCGGCGCGCACAGCAGCGGCCGCAGGGGCGGCCGGCCGTCGGCCTCCGACACCACGTAGTGAGGCGACAGCGCGAAGGACTGCTCCAGGTCAAAGTCAAGATCGTTCTCGGACTGGGGGCGGCCGCCGGCCGCCTCCAGTTCCTGCTGCTGCTGCTGCTGCTGCTCGTCCTGAATGGCGCTGCTTTTGCCAGGGTGAAACAACCCATCCAGCGGTTCAAGCAGCAGCCGCTCCAGCCCCGCGGCGCCGGCGCCCGCCCCGGCGCCCTGGCCCGCACCCATCGCGGCGCCCGCGCCGGGCCCGGCCCGGCGGTGCCGCTTCTGGTGCTTGCCGTGCTTGCGGGCGGCGGCGGCGGAGGCCGGGGTGACGGCTGCAAAGTACGCGTTGCAGCTCTGCTGCTCGGACCGGTACTGGGAGCAGCGGCCGCGCACCGGCTTCCACGGCCCCCAGTGCGTCGTGTTGCGGCAGACCTGCGGTGGCGCGGGCGTTCCCGCGGCGGGGGCGGCGTCGCATTCGATGCGCGCGCCAGCCGCGGCGCGTGCAAAGCGGCTCGGCCCGAGGCGCCCCGCCCCGCCGCGCCGCACAGCTCGGGCAAGCCGCCGGCGCTGCGCACGGGCTGCCGGCGCGGACGCGGCGCGCCCCCGCGGGGCCGCCCGCATGTCTCTCCAGCCAACACCACTCGCGCGTCGCGCCGGAGGGTACTGTGTGGTCGGCCTGCCCAGTTCTGCAACCCGAGCTACCCGGGCCATACCCCAAGACGACATTGCAAAACCATTCAAAACTCGCCTGCTCGAACAGCAGGGAGTAGCCCTGCGCCTGCAGCAGCTCGCACTCTGCTGAGTTCAGGTTCGGCGTCTCCCCATCCGCCATGGCCCACGGCCCGAACCGGACCTGCCCGGCCGCACAGCGCGGGCGGAGAGCGCAGCGGCGGGGGCTCTGTCAGCCGGTGAGGCGGGCCGCAAGGCTGCTGCTGACGTGGCGCGGTGCAACTGAAATTCTCGGGCTCCGCCGGGCAACGCGGCAGGGCAGGCCGGTCCCCACGCCTCTCTTGGCCACACAAAAGCTGCGCAGCGCATGCACCGAGACGACGCCGCGCGTCGCGGCAGCAAGTGACGTCATCGTGAGTCACGCTGGTCGTTCGGGGATCCCGGACGCACCTGATCCTCCAGCTGGCACCACTCGTCGTCGCCGCACACACCCTCGTCCATGTAGCAGTCCGGCACCACAGGGTTGGGGCACACCACGCTGTCGCAGCGCAAGTTGATGAGGTCACCTGGTTGCAGGCACACAGTCGAGGGCAAGACAGAAGGATGCGGCAGGTGCCGTTTGTGACGGGTGAGAGGTTGCGCATCGCGGCAGGGGCCGACAGCTGGCAATTTGCGAGGTGGGGCCTCTACGCGCGCAGGGCGGTATAGGAGGTTGGTGCGCCGACGCGCAAGGAGGGGCCTGCCCATCGCTGTTCCAAACGAAGCAGCCGGCGGGGTGTGCCGTCGGGCGGGAGGGCGCGGCCAAGGCTGCGATTGGGCGGTGCGGCGGAGCCTGGCCGCGGCGCCGCAGCCGCATGCGGCTCTGATATGCCGTGTCGCGCTTCGCGACTGTTCATGGGCCCGCCCGTGCCTGGCCCTCGTTGCTGCGTTGGCCTGCATGCGAGCGGCGGGGACCAAGGCATGCGCGCACCCTTCTTGGCCGTCTTCCGCTCGCCGGTAGTTATGTCCGGGTAATCAAAGTCCTCCCGCGCAATAGACTGTGTCAGTGAGAATCCGAAGCACTGCCGCTGGCTGTCCTCCTCCTGCCAGCGCTTGTGCAGCAGCTCGGCGTCACGCGCGCCATATGGCGCGCGCGACGACTCAGTCTGTTGGTTGCTCCCACTGTTCACGGCGGGCGGGACGCCCGCTGCGGCGCCGAGCGTAAATGCAGCGAGAAACAAAAGGCAAGCCGCGGGTCTCATGTGTACGTCTCTAAGGCGGAAACATGGTGGTCGTCTCCTTCGGCGCCAAGAGGCCCCGGAGATCTCCATCGTCGTTGATGTCTCCTTTGCGTCCGATTTGACACTCTACACCAACAGCGTCGATAATCGAAACGCAGAGTCCCGCCGTCGGCGGCAGTCGTGCGCGGGTGACGCGGTTGTCACCAGCGTCTGACCACTACGGCGCCGCCATGACCTCATTGTGCCAGCACGTTTCTGCTGCCCCTGGAGGCCACCTGCACTCCTGATAAGCTCCATTAGCGCGCACTTGACGACGAGATTCCCAACATGATAAGCAGGGGGCCGGCGATGGCCAGCCATCGCAATCCTCGGAAAGCCAGCTGCCTAGGGGAACTGCAACTCGCCACCCTGACACCCCTTACCTCCCCCCCCCCCCACCCCACCAACGTGCCTCTGCTCTCGTGGGGGCCAGGGCCCCACCAGTAAGCCTGCAAAGTCTTCCCTGTTCTACGACCTAGTGTCTCCGTTTTGGCACACAGATGCAGATGGCGCAGACAGTGCCCTACTGCGACTCCTCCCGCTGCACCCGCGCGAGTTCCCACCTGCCGGCTGGGCTCAACGTCTAGAAAGGGACGTGTTGCTTTGTGACGAGCGCACGCAAGTGTGGCAAGCTGTCCCGGAATCAGAGCAAGGCTTGTTGCAGGATGCGGCCAGCAGCAGCGGCGGCGTGACGCGCAATGCACGATCGAAAGCCAGCACCAGGCACCTCATCTACAGCACCACCGGTACCTGCAGCACAGCAAGCCTCGCACTCCGCGCAGTCCGCGCAGGCGCCACCACTCCGCCAGACGGCAAGCACGGCCGAGTTTGCCAGTGCGCGGTCCCACGCAGGCCACTCCCACCCTGCCAACTGGTGGCGCATGCCCGATATTGCGGTCGGGCCTTGAGTCAGTGTGTTGTGCACCCCCACCGCGTAGGCCGCCACAGAGGCGCCTGGGTCGCCGCCGTCGGCTGCCAGGCAATCAACGCGCGTGCAGCCAAGCACCGCTCCAGGTGCGACGCGCCCGTGCCAAGCTCAGAGAGCGGGCGAGGGAGAGGTCCCCCACAAACGCTCATCATACAATGCCTTCGTTTCAAAGTGTTTTCCACTGCTGCATGCGGCGGCTCTCGTGCACCGACACAGGCTGGGCGTGTGAGTCAAGTGCTTGCTGTCTGGCTGCACAATGCAGCAATACACAGCAGTCGCCAGCAGAAAAAAAGTACGGTAGGATGAGCTGGTTCACATGAAGTGCCGTGCTCACATGCTTGTGGGATGCATGTGCATGCACACACAATTCACTCGCATGCCTGCGCATGGGCACAAAACGATCACCCATGTGTTTGAACTCAAGCACAACATCCACACATGGCCTTGAATCGACACGCACGCGCGCATTTGCATACACAGCCATCCATGTCACCAAGTTCTCAACCTCGCCTGATTCTAACAACGGAGCCCCTTTGCACCACTGGAAACATGCAATAGCCGCAAGGCAGCTATTGCTGCCAGTGGCTGACATCATAAGGGACCACCGCCTCTCGCAGTGGAAGGCCGCTGCCGCCGCCGAAGGTAGAAAATGTTCACCATGCCCGGCGCAGCATGGGCCTTGCAGTAGGCGCCCTTGGCCTCGCCCCCAAGGTTGAAGCTGGGCCTCTTGGCGCAGCCGGGCGCCTGGCAGCGGGGACGATTGACCACATCTACCATACCTGCCGCAGCGTGGGCCTTGCAGTAGGCGCCCTTGGCCTGGCCCTCAAAGTTGAAGCTGGGCTGCTTGGCGCAGCCGGGCGCCTGGCAGCGAGAGTGAACCACGTCTACCATGCCTGGGGCAGCGTGGGCCTTGCAGTAGGTGCCCTTGGCCTCGCCCTCGAAGTTGTAGCTGGGCCGCTTGATGCATCCGGGCGCCTGGCAGCGGGGACTGACCACGTCTACCATGCCTGGTGCAGCGTGGGCCTTGCAGTAGGCGCCCTTGGCCTGGCCCTTCAAGTTGAAGCTGGGATGCGTGATGCACCCGGGCGCCTGGCAGCGGGGACTGACCACGTCTACCATGCCTGGCGCAGCGTGGGCCTTGCAGTAGGCGCCCTTGGCCTGGCCCTCAAAGTTGAAGCTGGGATGCGTGGTGCAGCCGGGCGCCTGGCAGCGGGGACTGACCACGTCTACCATGCCTGGCGCAGCGTGGGCCTTGCAGTAGGCGCCCTTGGCCTGGCCCTTAAAGTTGAAGCTGGGATGTGTGGTGCAGCCGGGCGCCTGGCAGCAGACACTGACCACGTTCACCATGCCTGGCGCAGCGTGGGCCTTGCAGAATATGCCCTTGGCCTCACCCTTGAAGTTGAAGCTGGGCTGCTTGGCGCAGCCGGGCGCCTGACAGCAGGGACTGACCACGTTCACCATGCCTGGCGCAGCGTGGGCCTTGCAGAATATGCCCTTGGCCTCACCCTTGAAGTTGAAGCTGGGCTGCTTGGCGCAGCCGGGCGCCTGACAGCAGGGCCTGACCACGTTCACCATGCCTGGCGCAGCGTGGGCCTTGCAGTAGATGCCCTTGGCCTCACGCTGGAAATTGAAGCTGGGCTGCTTAGTGCAGCCGGGCGCCTGGCTGTACTGGCTCGAAATCAAGTCCACACATAATCTGCGGCTGAAGTAAAAGTGAGGGCCGCCGCCTCCTCTGCTCTGGAGCCCCAAGCTGCGGCCTGGAGTGTACAGCGCCACATTTGGGTGGCGCTGCGGCTGTCGCGCCCACAGCCTGACGTGCGTGGAGAGTACGGCGCGGCCGGTTTGAAGCCAGGGGCTTGAACGCGGCTGTGTTGATCTCCCTGCTGGCTGCTGGCTGATCTGTCCAAGTCTCAACATGGCTGGCAACGTCGCCTGAGAAACAGGGGGAGCGGGGGGCGGTAGTGAGGCGCTGCGCATAGGAGGAGCCTGTGAGGGTCAGCTGCATTTACCTGCCCGAGACTTTGCATGTGGTAGCATCATTTGTTGATAGCTGCATGCGCTCGCAGCCACTGCACCATTATGTCACCGCCGCTGGCAACGCACCCTGGCTTGCACTTCTCGTTCTCTGCGGTGACGTTGTCGTGCGGCCTGCCAAAAAGCAGGGGCGTTGCGCCGCCAGCGCACAGCAGCGGCGAGGATCGTGCAGCTTGTCAAGAATAGGGCGGTTTCCACCAACACTGCGCGTTCTCCTTCGGCCCGGGAGCGACCAGGATAGCAGGAGTTGCGCTTGCGAGATCTGGGGGTCGACGGCACAAGAGGTCTAGTATACCATGTACAAAGGCTGGAGAAATGGCGATCGAATACATGGTTTTCGCACAACTGGCCTATTCCCCTTCTATGCCGGCCCGGTGCAGTCCACACAGCTGCGTGAGCTCGAGCTCAGCTGGTGCGCACAGTCAGCAGCCGCAGCCCAGCCGCGTACGCAGCAGCGCGCATCCATGTTGCGGCATTGCGCCGACGAGCATGCACGAGGTATGCTACAACAGCACATGCATGTGAGTGTGCAGTGGGGTTGATGACCACAGCGGGCACACGGCAGGTGTCCGGGCGTCACCCGCCGCCTCAAAGAGACGCCAGCCCCCCCAGACAGTCACACGCCGCAGCATTACATGGGGGGCGTGGCACTGCGGTGGCCAGCACCGCACAGATCGTTCATGCGCGCCCTTTTGCGAGCGTTGTGGGCGCCGCAGGACCAAAAAAAGAGCTTCGCGATGCAGGCGCATGGGGCGCACCATTGCTCAACAAAAAACTTCCCAGTGCTCTGGGGGGGCCAGCAAAGGCCAAAAGGCGCGATCATTTCAGGACACAGCGTTTGCAATGTATCGTGTGATGATGAGCAACGCCAGCTTCAGGCTGCGCAGACGCGCGTGCGCCCACAGCCAGCCGGCCACCACCGCCGCCACTGAATGGACTAGCATCCACCCAGCCAACTGCCAGTGCCCCTTGGAAACTAGAAAGGCCGCCGTCGGCCCGCCCTCAGGCCTGCCGACCGGCACTCCAGCCCGGGCCCCGCCGCTGGCCGCGCAGGTATATCATCAGGAATAGCGCAGCGCGGCGAGGGACAGCACGATCAGCGCGCCGCAGCCGCCGGCGAGCCCCGTGTATCGGATCCACTGGTTGGTTTTGCGGTTGAAGCACTCCATGAAAGAGTTGTCCTTGTGGCACTCCTGCAGGGGAACGGGGCCGCAGCCTAGCTTTGGTGCAATGTGTTGTGTGTGCGCGCGTGCGTGTGTGCGTGTCTGTGTGTGTGCGTGCGTGCGGTACACTGCGTTGTGTTGTGGTGTGTTGTGCAGTGCTGCACTGTGCTGCGCTGTGCACCGTAATTCTGTTCTGTGCTGTGCTTTGCGGTGCTGTGCTGTGGTGGGCTGCGCCATGTGCTGCGCCATGTGCTGCGCCATGTGCTGTGCCATGTTTATTGACCGATCGTAGCGCGTTGCTGCGTTGCTGACTGCGTTGTTGTGCAGCACTCAGCAGCCCAACTGCGCGTCAGTCCTGTGGCTGCTGCCCGAACGCCAGCAGGCCGCGGCAGGCGAGCACTGCCATCCAACCAAGCAGCGGAGCAAGCCGGCACGACGAAGAGCGAGAAACACCGCGCGTGCCCATCGCGCCGTGGTTAGAGGAAGCAAGAACCAGCCACTGCTAATGCCGGCGCACCGTGATGTCGTAAAGGCGGTCATATCCGAGCTGCTTGTAGGGGTTGGCGCAGGGGCACGAGTTTTTCGAGTTCTGAGTGGTCACCGCCAGGACGGCAAAGGCGACGACGCCAGCGACGCCCACGACAAACAGGAACGCCAGGAAGTTGCTGGCGTGGTTGGAAGGTGGGGTGTTGTGGCGGGGGTGAAGTGTAGGGCCTGGCGGCCGGGGCGGCGGCGCCATTCCAGCGAGTGGGCCCGCACCTGTTCCGCTTGGGTCGCCCCTCCTTGTAGATGAATGACTTGACGCCCCCACGCTCGAGGTCATTCTGCTCCCCCATGTCTCCCTGGCGCTGCTGCAGTAGTTGGGCGCGCAGGGCCGCTCTAGCTGGCACGCTTCCCGGGTGTGCTGCAAGTCGGCCGGTGCTACAGCGTTATCTCAACTCCAGTGCAATTAAAAAGCACAATTGCGTCTATTCAGCCGGTATCGGGGCGGCACGACCGGGCTCTTGATTTGCGTGCTCTCCAGGCTAGGCAATCGCGGAGCTATTCGCAAATAACACCGCTCTGGGTGCGCGTGTGCTCCAGAAAAGAAATCAGGTGAGTGTCATTGCTTGTAAGGCCTCAAAGGACGCCGATGCAGGAGGCGTGCAGGGCCAGAGGTAACTGCTGGAGGCACCCCTCGCTCTTGAGCAGCAAGTGCGTCATGCGGGGGTGCTGCTGTGGTGTTTCCCACAGCAAAAGCCGACAATGGGCCTCTCACAGTCGAACCTCTTGTGACAGGTTGTACGTCCTGTACCTTTGCAGCAGGCGTGCAGGGACCCGCAGAATCCTGACAAAACATTCTACAAGGGGTATGGGACACAAACTATCCATCCAGTCAAGCATCCAGCAGCAATGATGCTACTGTCACAGCCGCTATCTGCAGACTCTTATCTCAATCACCCGACAGGATGCATGTCTCGCCCCAGAAATCAGCTGGAAGGGGGCGGTTTGGAATGGAGTGTTTGGAATCCTGATGTGCTCGGTGTGTTCTGGACGAAACCTGACCCAGCGCTGCCCTCAGCAGCTTTGCGAGGGTGGTTCGAGCCTTTGCGAGGTGCGATTTGTCAAGACTGCCCTGCACAGGCAGCAACGATTGCCTTGAATCCGGGTCCACACTGGTCACTCAGCTGTGGCAAACAGCTGGAACGTGCTGTTGAAGCAAGGAATCCAGGAATGCTATGATAGTTATATGCGCTGTGTGCCAGAAGAACTGGCTCCTGCTACGAATATCCTAGATTATGGTGCAAGCTGTGTGCACGGGCCACACAGGGGGCGGGGGGCGGTTGCCAGCGGTGTGCTGTCAGCTCCGCCGGGCTTCAGCACGCAAACGTGGTTCCCTACCCCACCGCAAGCTATCAGCACACCGTCGTACGCAGGAAGGATAGAAGTACTTGTCCATTTTCATGGCAATGAGCTGTCCCTGCGAAGCTTTCGTCCGCGCCCACTCCTGTTGCGGGGGGTGGAAAGCACCCCCCTTTCCACACCCCCCTTTCCACACCCCCCTTTCGCAGCGCGGGTGCTTAGGTCCCCCTTGCCACATTTGCCCTCATGGGTAGGACACTGCCACACAGATGTCTTGCGGTCTTGTGAAATGCTTCCTGATTGTGCAGCTTGTGCGTGTGCTGTGCGCTCAGTTTGACAAGCGAGCGGGCATCCGCCGGGCGTGTGGTGCTGGGGGGGTCATTGGCAATCGGCCGATCGATCACACGGTGCACATCATTATGATAGCATCTGTGGCGGACGCGCTTGTGTGTGGGTCGAATTGGCTAAAATTCCGTTGAATCACCGGTTGCTCCCTGTAGAGTTCTCCGAATCCTGGTCCCGGTGATTGCGTTGGCTTCCAGGCCCAGAGAGCAGCGCGGGCGCGCACATCCTCCACGTAAAGTAACATGGTATTATGACAGCTTAGTGATTAGGACCGAGCAGCTAGATCCATGGGGGCGTGCTTCTCATCAGAGGCGCCTCCAACGGCGCCCGCGGCTGCCTCTGAGGCTCAGCTGGCACCCGTGGAGGCCTCTGTTTCGGTTCCTGCGGCCTCGCTCAGCAGCGTCCCCAGCATACCGACGACGCCGAGTGCGGCACATGAGACAATACGCAGCACGTCGGAGCGCACGTTCGACGACATGAAGCTGCTGTCGCAGGTGCGCAGGGCGCAGTGGGACTCGAATCCAATCCAATCTTGATCATGTCGTCGTTCCAACGGGGCGTGCGTGCGCCCATGCCGTGCAGCAGCGCACCGCCCGGTCGCCGGACACCACCTCGCTGCCCAATTCGCCGCCGCCGCTGCTGGCCCCGCCGGTCCCTCAATTGATTGCAGGCCAATGAGCTGCTGCAGCACCTGAACACGGTGTCTCAGACGCCGACGCGCGCGCTGCCAGAGGTGGCGGCCATAGTGACGCAGAAGCTCGGAGTCGCTCTATGCTTGTGCGCTGCAGCACTCCCCCCACCCCCTGCCGCAACCCCTGCCGCACGGCCGTCCCCGCTGCACATTGCCTCTTTTGCATCGCGAGCCAGCCCCTGCTTTGAAGGCACGTGAGGGCGAATGTGCATGGAGCGGCCGGCTGTGCGGCGAGGGCGCGCCCGCCGAGCAGCTGCTGCCCAGGCGCGGACTGCGACTCAGCGCGCCCTGCGAGTGCATGCGCACGCATGCGGCTCGCACCCCAGCCGCGGCGCCTGCCAACCCTGCCGCACCCCTCTTCCTCCCTTTCCCTGCGCCTCCCTGCAGCATCACGAGCGTCGCCGACGCAACCCCCGACGGCGGCGGCCCCGCGGCGGTGCTGCTCGCGGCGCACGGGCGCGGCGCGGCCGCGCTGGCGGAGCAGCCGGTCATGCGCGGCAGCGGCTGGTGCTCCCTGGGGCTGCGGCAGCCGACAGACCACCTGTATGTGAGGTCTGCGGCTTCAGACATGGTGAGCGCAGGACAGGAGGGCACTGGACCCGTTTTGGCGGGGCCTCGCGGTGGGCACGGGGCGCTGCGGCGCTGGCGGCTGGCCGCTTGGCGTCGCGGCTGCGCCCTGGCAGTCTGCGCAGCCCCAATGGCAGCCCGTTGCGAAGCACTGGTCCACCGGTCCGAGCCCACCAGCCCGCCCTCATTCTGCGGCCGCAGCCGCGCCTTCTCTCCCTGTCCACGTCCTATGACCGCCCGCCCGCCTCTGCACGTCCTCACATCCGGACCGCATGGGCCCGTGCCACCGCCCCTCACGCCTCCTGCTGCCCGCGGCCCTCGCTCCCGCAGGCGGCGGGCGTGCTGCCTAGGGAGTTGGCGCTGGCGCACTCCCATGACGCGCTGGGCAGCTTCATGGCGGTGCCTGTAGCGGCCGGGCCGCGCGTGCTGGGGGTGCTGCTGGTCGGGCGGCTGGAGGAGGGCGGGTTCGACGCGGAGTGGTGGCACCAGATGCTCGGAGCTGTGGCCAACAGCCTGCTGCAGCACCTGCGAAACCCCCAGGTGCGCGTGCGCGCGTGCGTGTGTGTGTGTGTTATTGCGTGTATGCATGGTGTCTCTGTGTGTGCGCGCGAGAGAGAGAGAGAGTGAGTCTGAGTGTGTCTGTGTATGTGTGTGTGAGAGAGTGTGTGTTGTGTGTGTGAGAGAAGCGTATGCGTGTGTGTGTGTGTGTGTGTGTGTGTGTGTGTGTGTGTGTGTGTGCGCGCGCGCGTCCATCCAACCTCTGTTCTTCACCTGAATCCCGTTCCTCACCTCCTTGCCCCAAACATCTCAACCGACTTTCACCACCCCGTCTCAAAACCTCAACCCCTCCCAATTCCACACGAAAAACATGCGCCTCCACCGGG